AGAGAGAGAGAGAGAGAGAGAGAGAGAGAGAGAGAGAGAGAGAGAGAGAGAGAGAGAGCATACCAGTGGGGGAGGGAGAAAGACACAGAGAGAGAGAGAGAGAGAGAGAGAGAGAGAGAGAGAGACAGACAGACAGACAGACAGACAGACAGAGAGCATACCAGTGGCGGTACCCCCCCCTTGTCCACTGATTTCTTTCTCTCTCAAGCTTTCCGCTCCTCCGACCAGATCAACCAAATTGCCGTTCCTCTGGACTGTCCACGAATTTCTCTGACAACCTAGGATCCGTTCAGCTTGTCTACTTGGCCACCTACTCGAGAAAACCACTCAAGAACAAAGCTACGAGACAGAAAATAGAGACAGAAGAGCTGGCACTAACAGCGTGCGCATTTAGGCACACTTGTAAGCAAGGGGGTCAAAAGAAGGCAGAAAGAGGTTGAACATCCAAAAAAAAAAAAAAAAAAAAAAGGAGGGTGAAAAGAAGGCAGAAAGAGGTGGTGAAAAAAAGGAAAGGACTCGTGTGTGTACTAAAATGGTTACGTAACAAAACCCCTGGAAAAAATGGGGTTGATTTTCTCTAGCTAACGGACATTCTAGCGGAGGCTAGCAGCATTTTTCAAAGGCGGCGTACAGCAGTGGCAAGAGCATGAAACAAAAATTTTATGTAAACTGCTGCCAGACAAAATTTTGCCGGCAAGAGACGTAACGCTAGAGACCTTCCACAAAGAGCAGAAGCGACGGGCATCGCTTCACAACCGGCCCTTGACTTCAGCGTGCATGCAGACAGCCGATGGATGCTCTCATTGCGATCCACCAGGGCATACTCACACTACAACTTTCCGACACGTATCCGGTCCTAATTCCGTACAGAATCCAAATAAGTCTCTAGTGTGAGTGTGCCCTAAAAGGTTTTCTCCACAACGCTAAAAGCTTCGAATCAACGAATGATCGGACACGCCCACCTGCGATAACAGTCCGGTTCCACCGCTAGGCTCAAAGAGTCGAGAGCCTCCATCTTACAGAATTTCTGACAAACCAAGGGCCAGTCAGGTAAACAGAGTTTCTGACAATGCGAGCGCATGTCGGCGAGCATCGGCTTCCGGAAATTAATCCGCCAGCAGTCCGCCGCCGACAAGGGCACAGGCTGGCGGTGTTCTCTCCGAAAACTACGTAGCCAGCCAGAACTTCTCAGAAGCTTTAGCGCCCCAGAGGTCAGCCCCGGCCTTTTCAGCAAGTCTGCAGAAAGACACGCGTCTGCAGCGGCTAGTAGAACGGATTGCCGTGCACAGTCTGCACCACTGCACACAATTATTCCGAATGGGGATGAAGAGACTTGAAACTTAGACGCGCCCGACGAGGAGCACGTGAGCATGCACACTCGCACATTCACGAGCTGTTTCCTTCATTCTCCCATGGAGTTGGGACGAAGAGCAGCCGATGAATATTGTCGAACGCTGGCAGCCAAGCCCCTTCAACCGCCGCCGTCTATTCCAGAAAACAACCCAGGTAGAGTGGTGAGCGAGAATCGCCAAGCGATCCCCATTGGATCCCATAACCTGAGATTGCGGAATTTGATCGCCAACGTAGACCGATCTCCATGGCCCACTTGCCGTAGAATCTAAGGAAAATGGTGAGATGCCTATTTCAGATTTTTCTATATCGTCCCGAGACTGCAGATTACCAAAAATAGACTACGATGTGCAGGGTTGAGGGCTAAATTAGGTAGAAAATCAAGGAGCGTCCTGCAGAACGACGCGCTTGTCCTTCTCTAGAGAAAGGAAAGCACAGGAAACTAAAAAAAAAAGAAAAAAAATGGCAGTGTGAGCTTCTTTACAGGATTCGCTTGGACGAGAACAGAATATGACCTCCCTCTGTCCCAAAACACAGACATCATCAGCCATCATCACGCCTACCAAAAAACCGTTCCATTTGCTGTTCTCTCCACGACTGAAACGAGCAACACGAAGAAGAAAAAAAAGACAATAATATGTACAGATCAACGATACTCCGCCGCCCACTCCCCCTCCCCTCACCCTCCCTTTGTCTCCTCCCTCCTAAGTCTATCTTGCCCAAACGCAGAAGCCACTACTTCAGACTCTATCCTAGAACGACCGAATAGCAACGGAGCGAAGAACGGAAGGGGAAAGCGCAAGAAGCTCGTAAATTAATAACGGTGAAGCAGAAAGCACGGAAGGGGAAAGCGCAAGAAGCTCGTAGTAACCGAGTTCATTTCCTATTTGCCGATCCCAGCGACCGGAAAGATCGTTATGTAAAAACATATAACGACCTCCAGCCAAACCGAAGGGACAAAAGAAGCTGGACTAGACCGAGGCACCAGAAGATGCTGCTGAGTGACCTGATATCTATTGCGCAGCCGATAGTTCGGCAGACCACAGCCGGCTCGATGAGCGAAAAGGAATAGAGATAAAGAAACTGATGAAAAGAACTGATGAAGATGGAAAATGAAAGCTAGGAAGGCAAGAGCCTGGACGGAAAGAAGCTGGACTAGACCGAAGCACCAGAAGATGCTGCTGAGTGACCTGATATCTATTGCGCAGCCGATAGTCCGACAGACCGCAGCGGGCTCGATGAGTGAAAAGGAATAGAGATAAAGAAACTGAAGAAAAGAACTGATGAAGATGGAAAATGAACGCTAGGAAGGCAAGAGCCTGGACGGACAGGGGGATAAAAGGGTGAAAAAAGGGTTACTACGATGGCCGGACTACGACACATGGGGTTAAGATCCATATAAGAGGGATAAAGGCCTCCTTCCCGTTGCTGAGCTGGGCCGATTCCCTTGTAGCATGCTGGGGCCTAAGCTGCTGGAGCACTGTACGTATCACCACTCTGCAAAAGGTAAACTACAATGGGCGGACTACGACACATGGGGTTAAAATCCATATAAGAGAGGGATAAAGGCCTCGTTCCCGTTGCTGAGCTGGGCCGATTCCCTTGTAGCATGCTGGGGCCTAAGCTGCTGAAGCATTGCACATATCACCACTCGCCTAACGGCTCAACTCGATCGATCGATCGATCTTCGCTCCCTCTGCTTTCCTTCCCCTCCCACACTTGCTCACATGATACCACCCTTGCTAAACGTACATGCCCGACAACATTACGTCTATATGCTCAGCACCTAAAGCTTTCGAACACTATCTATCACCAGACTCACCACTGATGTAAATCTCGATCGATCGATCGACCCTCTCCCCGCCTATCCCTTCCACCTGCACGCCCTTCGTTGCACCCTACATGCCTACTTCCCTATCTGGACAGTCAGGCGGGTGATCCAATGCAGCCGAAAGCAGCCAGTTTGCCTGTGTACAGCAGCAGGGCCCGCAGCTGCAATCAATACCGCTAATGAGAGGCTCCACAATGCACGCACCCAGGCGGCAGGTGGGTGGCCATCCGCAAACAGACAGGGAGTCCGCTTATCGAATGGAAAATGACAATAGTGAAGGAATAGAACATAGCTGTTCAGCCGCCTTTCCATCCCCAAACACAAGCAGGCGAGCTCATGACTGACAGAGAATTGCACACAATCACCAGCAACGCTGCATGACGTCAGCAGTCGCCGGTCCACCAGGATGCATTCCCAACAGTTTTTTTTTTCCCTTCCGTCATGCCCAACAGTCGTTTGTCGATTCCACCACATGGCATCCTTGCCCCGCCGCATGCCGCGATGCGGCCTCCCCGTGTCCATCATGCAGCAAATGGCCATTCCTTGGCCGCCCGATCCAGTTGCCCTTCAGCACGCTGCTACATTCAAAGGATGTAGCAGATGAAGAGGAGCCCAGCCATGCAGACGAGACCAGCCCATTCCAAGACATCATATAAAGAGTGCAGAATCATTGAGATGCCCCTACAGCAGACGTAATTAAAAGTCGACAAGCCTTACCGAGGAAAATAGCGTCCATACAGAGAGGTCGCGGTGGAGGCTGAGGACTCTGTCAAACTCGCGGACCCATAACCGTACAAAAAGCACGATCCGGGTCCTATAGGCAAGAGAAGCCGTATTCCCTCTTCACGTGACACTCTCCAAGTCGATGGAGTTGAAGTCCATGGAAAGTGCGCGGCTGATCTGTGCTCGAACCGAATCTTTCGGTGAGAGAAAATTTGCCTCCAACTCTCGCCATTTCACATACCGAGCACGCAAGTAGGCCTCCGCATCCTGGGCATCATAGTACTCCTGTGTACACATATCGCAACACAGAAAGCGAAAACGCACACCACCTTTTATAAATAAGACACCCTTCCCACTCCGTCACCGCAGCTGTCCCTCCCTACCCCTTCCTTTCCCGCTCTCGAGATCACATGCAGGTAACCAGACAAACACGCCAGAAGCCAAAAACGAACATCTTTTTCCTTTCTTCGATATAACCAGGTCCTCGTGGTCCTGGCTACTAACATCTGTTATTGGTCGTTCCATACACACGGTCTACCCCCAAACATAACGCACCCCCATAATGAACGTATACAAGCTAACTTTCCAGTCCGATACAGTCAAAATGAGGGCGCATTATTGCGTTCAGGAGAAGACGGCAGACATTGCACCCGCAGTCGTCAAATGCGGCATTCCATCAGAAAAACCTGTCCATCATTACCAATCCCTGCTGCCTCTTTATCAACCCCACCCCCCCCAAAAACCCCCCGCCCTCCCTCTCCTAAAACACACTGCTTGCACTTATCAGAGGTTTCCCTGCCACCTGTTTTCCATCCAATCAAGGGCCCAATTCCTAACGACTTCTCTTTTTCTATCTCCCACTTCCTCATGACAAGCTGCTACAGTGCCAACATCCAATGAACTGTGAAAATTTCCTAAAATGGTAAAGCAAAAAAGATCTAGCCTCCTGTTCATCATCAGGTGGGGGCCATACACTACACTGACAGCGAGTGGTGTGTTTTTCTTTTTTCTTTTTTTTCTTCTCCAAGTGGTGTTAAAGTCCAGCTGCAGGGCTACGCTCCTGCGAATCCAAAATCATAGTAGTAAATCGTATATATATATCGTCACAAACATATATATATCGTCACAAACAGATATATATATACACAAAGATCGTCAAACAGAGCTGCCCGATAAACCGTAGGCAGAGAGGGAGGGAGAAGAGGACAACAAACGAGGGGAGGCTGTGACAAACTGTTTTGTCGGAGTTTCACCGACTCGTCATATCGTCAAACAGAACATCACGGTAAACCATAGGCAGAGAGGAAAAAGATGACAACAAACGAGGGGAGGCTGTGACAGACTGTTTCGTCGGAGTTTCACCAACTCGTCAGGAGGCTGAATTTCTACCTTCTCCTCCTTCCCCCACACTTTTTCACTTTTTTGGCCGTAAAAGATCATAGCGAACGAAAGAGGGACGGCTACATATCATGCTGCGCTTCGCGAGACTCGCTTCCATCCCAGCAATATTTGATATGGTTTCCAGAAACAGAATGTACATACGTATATGCCGTCAAACAAATTTTTATTTATATATTTAAAAAACGTAAAAGTGTCCTTTGGGACATCCATTGAAATTGGAACGATACAGAGAAAGAAATTAGCATGGCCTCTGCACAACGATGACACGCATAAATCAAGAAATGGTCCAATTTTTTTCAATATATATATATAAAATATATATACTCTTCTCTCTCTCTGCCTACGGTTTACCGGGCAGTTCTGTTTGTGAAGATATATATATATATTTTATATATATATATAGTCAAACAGAGCTGCCTGGTAAACCGTAGGCAGAGAGGGAAAAGAGGACAACAAACGAGGGGCTGTGGCAAACTGTTTCGTTGGAGTTTCACCGATATATATATCGTCACCGATATATATATATATATATATATATATCGTCAAATAGAACTGCCCGGTAAACCGTAGGCAGAGAGGGAGAAGAGGACAACAAATGAGGGGCTGTGACAAACTGTTTCGTCGGAGTTTCACCAACTCATCAGGAGGCTGAACCCTCAACAGTCTGCAGAATATATATATATTTGTGACGATATACCTTTTTTTTTTCTTTTTTTTTTAATTGCTCCAATCTATTCACGGGGAGCCACACGTGCTCAGAACCGGGCCCCACGTCCCTTATGGATAATGAAAATACGACGTAATGGAAGTGTTTTTGAAAACCCCCTCTCCCTGCCAGCATTGATTACCACTGAGAAGTAGGGCCAAACCCAGGGGATTTTGACTGAGCAGGCCAAACCCATGGGAGAAGTAGGGCCTCTCTCCCCTACTCACCAAATGTGCAAAACAACAATGAATATTCCGCTACTACCGCTAGAACACGGGAAGACATATCACCATACTTTTTTATCTTTTGCGCATGTGGTGATTAGTGGAGCAAGGCACATAGAGCCCCTGGCAATTCAAATTTTAACTGTCATCAAGCCAGTGGCGATCGGAGCACAGATCGTGCGCATCGCTCCATTAAAATTGGAACATATTAACATGAAAAAATCGAGAAACGGTCCAAATTCCTCTCTCTCTCTCTCTCTCTGTGTATGTGTGTGTATGTGTGTAAATACATATATATATCGTCAATATGACGATATATATATATATATCGTCATAGATATATTATATATACATATTTAACCGTCACACAGAACTGCGCGGTAAACCGCAGGCAGGGAGAGAGAAGAGGACAACAAACAAGAGGCTGTGACAGACCGTTTCGTTGGACTTAACACCAACTCATGAGGAGGATATATATATATATATATATATATATATATTTTATATTATATATATATCGTCAAATAGAACTGCCCGGTAAACCGTAGGCAGAGAGGGAGTATATATCAATCCCTGAAGCAATGATTCGACAGAAAGGAATGTTTTGTGTATCTGCTCCCTCGCTTTCCTTTCTTGTCTTGGCTATGAAAGGAAAAAGCGAGAGCTGGGACGAGGACCCACTAGCAAAGAACTTACATTTAAAGCCTTTTGTGCAGAGGTGCAGAAAAGCAGATCAATGATCAATCTCAATTCTCTGCATCTCTCCACAAACGCCTCCAGATTCAGGCGGTTCACGGTTAAATCCAAAACACTCACTTTAAATAGTGGGGCCTCTCTCCTGATGGTAGAAAAGGAAACAGAGTGGCAAAAATCGCACGAAGCCTCGGCTACGATGCTGTGGTTTTCTCGAGAAATAGACATTAAAATTTAATAATCAAAAGTTTTTTTGGGGCGCAACTTCAGTAGAGTCACAATACGAGTTAGAATTGCACTATGGAGCAAGATACAGTTTGCAATTGCACTTCGGGCACCGTACCTGGCCAGCAAGCTGGGTTGTATACATTGCCCAAACTGGGAGGCATTTTCTAGGGTCTGCTCCACTGCACAACACTCTACAGGTATCTGGACTTAGTGGTGATCTCGATACACTCCAAATGTTCGTTCAGCACAAATGGATCCGGCTCGATCGGCTGTACAGATTCCTGTAGCACCTTGTGTGGTGGAGCGAGGCAAAAAGTGTTGCCCCACTTGGCTGTCATTCTAGCCTGGCGGAGGAGCATTCGGAGCAGTAGAAGATAAAAGTAACGAGGCCAACCACACAGAGCAATCTGCACATTGCCAGCTAGATGAGAAAGCAACGCCAGAAAGATCGCAATTCGTTCCCTTTTTTCTGGGTGCTTGTCCAAGTCTTCTCCTAGTCGAACAGGCGCGTATCGAGTCTTCTCCTAGTTGAACACGCACGTATCAAGAACGAACACAAGCACTTTTGTTGGCCAGATGCATGCCAATGATGCCACCATGACGCCGATGTGTTTTTCGCTCAAAGAAACTTGGCCCTTTCTCTTTCCTAAAGCAGCTGGCCTAGAAATGCCAAGTGATCAGTTTCGCATTTCTACCTTCGTCACCCGCATACAACTTACGGCCACTGTTGCTGTATTTAGACTGAAAGATACCTTAAATGCAGCTTGCTGTATTTAGACTGAGAGGTACCCCAAATGCAGTCTTTGGCTGAAGAAGGCAGTTCGCAGAACTACCAGAGGCCCCTTTTTTAAACCGCCACTAACTTTCAAAGTGGAAGCTACGTCGTGGATATAACCAATACCGCATTCTTTCAAAGCGGAAGGCTACGGATACCCAAGCGCAGCCTTCCGTATTTAGACTGAAAGATACCCCAAAATGCGGCAATTGGGTGAAAAGGTAGTTCACAGAACCAACAGAAGCCCCTTTCAAACCACCACTACCTTTCGAAGTGGAAGGCCGCGTTGTGAATATAACCACTGGACGTACATTCCCAACCCAACCTGCCTCTTGTCAATCCGCCCTGGCGCACCCCTACTCCCTCAGTCCCACCTCAGTGTCCAACACTTAGGACCATGCTACATTGGGCAAGCTCCCAGGCAAAATGCGGTATATGGTTTTTTTTTTGTTTTTTTTTTTTGCGCTATATGTTGATTTATTACCAAATAAGGAAGGTCATCCATCCACCAGAAAGGAAGAGAGAATCCGGGCAGGGGGGGACTCATCCCTGGGGTCTACCGACCGCCAAACGCCAAGACAGCAGTGACAAGGTAGATACAAACCACTGAAACGAGACAAAAGCGCACGTGTTTACATTCTGTTTTTCAATAAGCTAGCTATTAATTTTCTTGGCGTTTTCTCAAAGAAAGCCCTAACAGTTTCGCGACACTACATTTGGTGCTTCTATTTAGGAAACTCAAACTGGCACCTCAATTTGTCTACAATGGCTCTCACGAAAAGACAAAGAAACAGCTTGGACCTTCGCAGCTGCACAGTCCTGCAGGGTAACATGGAATTCCTCCCCACCAAAGGGGAGGACCAATGAAAAATGATCATGGCGGACTCTCTCTCTCTCTCTCTCTCTCTCTCTCTCTCCGCGCGCATACACACGCACACACACACAACTTTCGCAGTCGCCACCCTTGCCGAGAATTTCCTTCTGTCATCTGCACAGAAAGAAGTTCTGGGAACCATGAAGGCTTCTCAGAACTGTTAACAGAATGTTCAGCTGTTGGAGTGGTTAGAGACAAGGTCGGCCAACCATGACAGCCTGGGAATGACGACCTGGCAGTGCTCTCTCTCTCTCTCTCTCTCTTCTCTCATTGCTGCGGGATGGTAAATTTTGTTACCTTGGGCATTTAGCCACTTAACCAAATTGCGAAGGAACGCAACTGAAAATATTGTAGAACGAATCATAGATTGCCCTACATACAATT